TGGCTGAACTCTGGTTTTACAGCAGCAGCTTCAGGAATTCAATTCTGTCTCAGCCGTAAAAGGCATCTCTGGTTCCCTTAGTTATGGGGTCATGTGCTGAAAAGTACGAGTAAAACATCTGCACCACCTTTACCTGCTGACTTTGTTGTATTTTTGTTTGTTGTTTCTGTCACTGACCAAACAAAACAATAAACAAACTGTCGGAAAAATTAACAAACAAAACACTACTAAACAAAATTCAGAAAGGTATCATCAGAACACCTGGACTCACCTGTGAATGGAATGAATGATGGATGGATGGATTGGTTGATGGATGGATGTATAAAAGATGAAGGATGGATGAAGGAAGGGTTATGGATGGATGGATGGATAGATGGATGGATAGATGATGGATGGACGGATGATGGATGGATGGATGGATGGATACATGGATGATGGATGGATAGATGATGGATGGATGATGGATGGATGGATGATGGATGGATTATGGAAGGATTATGGATGGATGGATGGATGAATGGATACATGGATGATGGCTGGATGGATGATGGCTGGATAGATGATGGAAGGATAGATGGATGGATGGACGGATGGATGGATGATGGATGGATAGATGATGGAAGGATGATGGCTGGATAGATGATGGATGGATATATGATGGATGGATGGCTGCATGGACGGATGGATGGACGGATGAATGGATAAACGAGTTGATGATGAATGGATAAATGATGGATGGATAGATGATGAATGGATAGATGATGGATAGATGGATTGACGGATGGATGGATGATGGATGGATTTCTGGATGGACGATGGATAGACGGATAGATGGATGGATAGAACCTGGACTGTAAAAAGTAAACGTCAGGAGGTCAGACATAAAAACTACACAAATGAGTATTTTGTTACATTCAATATTTTTTTATACATTTTTATGTTTATGTTAAATAAACTTCTGTAGGTGCAGAGCACAGGCTGTCAATAACAAACTGTTATTTAAAGTCTATGGTGCAGAGCTTTTCTCTTTCTGCTCTGTGGGTTTGTTTTCCTCTGTCCTGCAGCACCCTCTGCTGGCTGAACTCTGGTTTTACAGCAGCAGCTTCAGGAACTCAATTCTGTCTCAGCCGTAAAAGGCATCTCTGGTTCCCTTAGTTATGGGGTCATGTGCTGAAAAGTACGAGTAAAACATCTGCACCACCTTTACCTGCTGACTTTGTTGTATTTTTGTATGCTGTTTCTGTCACTGACCAAACAAAACAATAAAACAATAAACAAACTGTCAGAAAATTAACAAACAAAACACTACGAAACAAAATTCAGAAAAGTATCATCAGAACACCTGGACTCAACAGTGAATGGATGAATGATGGATGGATGGATTGGTCGATGGATGGATGTATAAAAGATGAAGGAAGGATGAAGGAAGGATTATGGGTGTATGGATGATGGATGGATGGATACATGGATGATAGATGGATGGATGGATAGATGATGGAACAAGAACAAGCTTTGATCTGAAAACTAGGAAGGTCTTGTCAGCTAGGTGGGTGAATCGAAACTTGCTTTGAGTAGATATTGATAGTGGGTCATTGTCAGGCTTTGTTTGGGCTGAGCACTTATGTTTCATTCTCTGAGCATCAACAGGAGATGCAGCTGACGCGTGTCACAGACTCTGTTGATTGCAAGCTGAAAATCTGGGGCGGGATTTTCATGAAAATCCAAGCTTAAAAGAGTCTGAATCCGAAACTGCCAGCAGAACAAGCTCTGATCTGAAAATTAGGAAGTGTCTGGAGCTTCAGCGTGGCCACAGAGCCTGGCCATCCACAACTACTGCTTTGCCTATTTCCTCTGGTCATCTGCTAAACGCAACATGTGCTACAAAGAAATCTCCGTCATTCATGGGAACAGGAAAAGACACATCTGTCATAGACAACAAAATCTTAACAACTTGTCTGTGCTTAAGAAAGCCTCTTCTACCCACCCTTCATTTACTTTTGGCCTCTGGAACTGTCAATCTGCTGTGAATAAAACTGAATTCATCCAAGCACTTACAAAAAAATGTCAGACATTCAGGCACTTGCCCTTACTGAAACCTGGATCCGCCCAGAAAATACAGTCACACCAGCTGCTCTTTCTGTTGACACAGTGTTCTCACACACACTCCACTCTGTTGGACGTGGAGGTGGTACAGGTATCCTCATTTCTAACACCTGGAAATTCAATAAACTCTTCCCACTGAGCAACAACTCCTCATTTGAATATCACATAATCTTGGTTACTGCTCCTATTAAAATGTACATTGCTATCATTTACCGCCCACCAGGGTGTAATCTCAATGATTTTGTTGTGGAACTGGACATGCTACTCTCAGAAATCCCTGATGATGGAACTCCACTGATTGTAATGGGAGACATGAATATACACACTGATAAAGTCCAGGCAACAGACTTCCTTGCTCTCTTATCCTCATTTGACCTCATGCAAGTCCCAACTCCTCCTACCCACAAAGCTGGCAACACTCTTGATTTAATTATGACTCTGAACTGCTCGACAGCAAACCGTCACCCCTCTGCATCTATCAGACCACTTCTTTATTCAATTCACAATTTCCTTGCTGGAAATCCCTCAGGCACACCCACAAATGGTGTAATGGCTGCCATGCCTGCCCATAAGGTCTTTACCACACTCTACAGACAAGGCTACAGACATACTCTGCTCCACGCTAGTCTCATCTCTGAACAAGCTCTGCCCTCTGGTGTCCAAACCCGCTCGCAAAACCCTCCTGTCCAGAAACGATCTGTTTGACCCAAATCAGTCAGGCTTTAAGCGGGGCCACTCTACTGAAACTGCACTACTGTCAGTAACAGAATCGCTATGAGCTGCCAGAGCTACGGGTCAGTCATCAGTTCCATTACTGCTAGACCTGTCTGCTGCCTTTGACACAGTCAACCATCAAATCCTCCTTTCCACGCTCTCTGAACTTGGCATCTCAGGATTTGCCCTCTGCTGGCTCGTGTCCTACATATCTTACATACCTACAGATCCTTTAGAGTGTCGTGGAAGGGAGAAGTGTCCAAAGCGCACAGCTTATCCACAGGGGTACCTCAAGGGTCAGTGCTTGGTCCCCTTCTCTTCTCCATATACACAAGCTCACTTGGTTCAATAATCCACTCTCATGGCTTCTCATACCACTGCTATGCTGACAATACCCAGCTGTTACAGTCTCTGCAAGAATCTCGTCATGCCTTGCTGATATCTCTAAATGGATGAATGAACGCCACCTTCAACTCAATCTTTCAAAGACTGAGCTCCTTGTCATCCCAGCCAGTCCCTCTATGCAACCACAACTGGAACAACCAAACTCATGCCCACAAAGTCTGCTCGGAACCTGCGTGTCATGATTGATGACCAGCTAACTTTTAAGGTTCAAGTAGCCTCGATTGCCCGGTCATGTTGATTTGCCCTGTACAACATCAGGAAGATCAGACCTTACCTGTCAGAACATGCTACACAGCTCCTGGTACAGGCTCTTGTGATATCACGCATCGACTATTGCAACTCTCTACTTGCGGGTCTTCCTACATGCACTATCAAACCCCTGCAGATGATACAAAATGCAGCAGCACGACTGGTCTTCAACCTTCCTAAAAGAGCACATGTCACTCTGCTGTTCATCTCCTTACACTGGCTCCCAGTTACTGCTCGCATCAAATTCAAAACTCTGCTGCCCGCTTACAAAACAGCGTCAAAAACGACTCCTCCTTACTTTAACTCTCTCATCCAGGTCTACACTCCCTCCCGCCCAATGAAAGGCGTCTGATTCAACCTTCACAACAGGGTCCTAAGACGCTGACTAGACTCTTCTTCCCTGTCGCCCCCCGGTGGTGGAATGAACTTCCAAACTCTATTCGATCTGCAGAGTCCCTCTGCACCTTTAAGAAAAAGCAAAAGACCCAGCTCTTTCATGACTTTCTCTTTCATACCTACTAACTTAATGATGATGGTCTCGATATTATTGCTGATGATGATGGTTGTGACGATGGTTTTTGTTTGATAAACTACGACTTATAAGATGGTTTCTATACTGATTAGAGCGCTCAAGAACTGCCGTCAATGTTGTGCTTTGCCTCTGTGCAATGCCTGTCAGCACCTGTGTGTCCAATTTTGCTCTTACTGACATTGTTCCCTTTTTTCTAGATCCTTGCTTGTGTTGTACTTAGTCTCTGATGTACGTCGCTTTGGATAAAAGTGTCTGCTAAGTGAATTGTAGAATTGTAGGATGGATGGATGATGGATGGATAGATGATGGATGGATGATGGATGGATGGATACACGGATGATGGATGATAGATGATGGATGGATGGATGGATGGATGGATTGACGGATGGATGTATGACGGATGGATGGACGGATGGATGGATGATGGATGATGGATGGATGGATGATGGATGGATGGATGATGGATGGATGATGGATGGATGATGGATAGACGGATGGATGGATGGATAGAGCCTTCATCGAACCTGGACTGTAAAAAGTAAACGTCAGGAGGTCAGACATAAAAACTGAACAAATGAGTATTTTTGTTACATTGAATGTTTTTTTTATTACAAACGTGTGTCTATATATTGAACATCAGAGGGCCGGACCCCTCCTACAGTCACCCACACGTCAATATCAATAATAATGAACGACAGAATCATCGCCATCGATCACAATGAACAATGAGATCACTGTTATCGATAACAAGGAACGATAGAATCATCAGAATAATATCATCATCTGTCGTCTCCGTCCTGCTGATAATCTGAGCTCTGCTGGTACGAATCTGAGGGAGGAGAAAAAAAAACAGCAGACAAACAATGAAACACACACACACACAGACGCACACACACACACATGCACACACACACACAGACGCGCACACACACACACACACACACACACACACACACACACACACACACACACACACACACACACACTCACTCACACACACACACACACACACACACACACACACTCCTGCACATTTTTCTAATTTCTATTGACCATTTCTTTGTCTCGGGTGCTGCTGGTTTGAAACACTTTCTGCACAGTTTCTATGCAAACATGATATAAAAATTATAAAACAAACACAAACTCCAGGCACTGCTCTGAAATAAAACCATTAACCGTTAAAAATGTGCAGGAACAGATTCACATCTGGAATGCAGCCTACAGACTGGGAACTGTTGATCAATAACAATCAATATCAGCACTTCTGATGGTGTATAGATCAGTATGATTGGTCACTTTATGGATTGTTTGAACTCAATTCTAAAAATTATAAAATCAATTAAAGATGAGAAACACAAGGTTACCATTAAAACGGAAACTATAAAAAAAGTAAAGAGGTGACGCTCAGATTGGACGGTCTCACAGGAAGGAAAGTACAATCAGAAATGCATTTTTTTTTCTAGTTTGCCCTCCAAGTTTACCTGTGAGTGTGTGTGTGTGTGTGTGTGTGTGTGTGTGTGTGTGTGTGTGTGTGTGTGTGTGTGTGTGTGTGTTGGTGTATGTGTGTACAGACTGAGCTCCACTGACTGGAATAAAAACGACAGCCTGTCCTTTGACTCCAGAGACATCCACATGATTGACAGATGGTTACTGTACAGCTGCTCTGCTACCGTGTGTGTGTTTGTGTGTGTGTGTGTGTGTGTGTGTGTGTGTGTGTGTGTGTGTGTGTGTGTGTGTGTTTGTGTGTGTTTACATTTCCCGCTATACAAACAGCTGGTTCAGTATTCAAACAGTAAAACATCAGTGCTGATAAACAATCCGTCTCTCAGTGTCTCTGACTCCTCCTCACTCAGCACGGAGCGAGCTGATTGGCCAGGAAGGGGAGGCAGGGTTGTAGGCGGGACAAACAAGGTGTCAGGATGGCGTCTATTGGCAGTCACTTCCTGTCCATCGCCTGAAGCCCGTCTGATCCAAACACTCTGAAAATGTCGGCTTGTTTTTTCCAAAATTCAATGTTTGATTCGGAATGGTTTGATCCGTCCTCCCCTCTGAAAGGTTGTTGGTATGATCCACTGCGGCAAGGTTGTTTATGAATGACCCTGAAAACAGGTTATAAAGGTTTCAACCCCCCGCTGGGTAAAGTTTAGACTGATCCAGCTCGCCTTTACACTCAGTCGTGCCCTCCCAGTAAGTCTGTTGGTGGGCGTGTTGGCGTCTTTGGAGGGGGCAGCGGCCGAGGCGGTGGTGGTGGTTTGGTGTTGGTTCGTCGTGGACTCCCTGCCCCCCCTCCCCCGTCACTGTCGGCTCTGTCTGCTGGGATTGGAGGAGGCGGCGGGGGGAGGCGGGGCAGAGACATGGAGCCATGATGGTAGTGGAGAAGGTGGTGGGGGTTGTGGCGGTGGTGACCTGGCGTCGGGCCTGACTGAGGGACCCTGGAGCAGGAGGAGGCTGAGGAGGAAGAGGAGGGAGGAGGAGGAGGGGGAGGGGTCAGTGTGGCTGGTCGTAGGCTCTGAATCCGCCGACACTCCTGACAGATCCTCACGTGGCTGCACCCCTGAAGGAAGCTGCGGGGCAGGGCAGGCGGGGCCACCAGGGCTGATGCTGGATTGTTTGTGGCGTTGGCGCCAAGCGGGTCCTCCAGGAGCCTCTGTGGCCCCGGGCCCAAGTCATGACCTCCTCCAAGTCCCAGCCCCGGCGGGCCCCCCGTCAGAGGACCAGCACCGCTGTACAGTTTGCCGTTGCTCAGACGCATGTCACGGACCAGACGGATTGGGCGAGGGGCGGCAAGAGCCAGACGGGACGGATGACGTAGAACTCCGCCCCCGGCGCTGCTCAGAGGGCGGCGGCGGCGAGAACGAGAACTCTTCTTACAGGAGACGGCGTTTCTAAACTCTGTGAGCATCTCCTGACAGACGGACACCTGAGTGAGAAAGAGAGAGAGAGAGAGAGAGAGAGAGAGAGAGAGAGAGAGAGAGAGAGAGAGATGTGAGGAACGGATGGCTACAGAGATAGAAGATGAACGTTGAAATACGACATCGCTGTTGTCGTGGTCAGACAACATGCTACAAATTCATCCAACTTGTCGGGAGCAGTGCTTACCTGTACACTGCACAACAAACGACGCATGATCAAATAAAAATCAGTCGAGCTACTCGTACATGGTCAGTGTGTCAATGTCTTTCATATCATCTCTGTCATGTGCCATTAACTTTACTAAAGGATACTCCAAGAAATCATATTTTCTATGAGTTAATATCTCATAGATTACAGAGTGTATCAGTCTTAATGTTCAGAAAGCAGCAAGCAATGATTCAAAATACAAATAACCAATTATTATCCCAATTCAATGAACCAATGATTAATACATATCGAAATGATATGTATAAATATGCATACATTTATAAATATACAAATACAAATATACAAATATAAAACGTGACATACAAATAAATTAACTAATTTGTATAAATAAACGTGTATTTGTAAATATATTTTCGAGATTTGAAAATAAATATGCTTGACTTTGTGTGTGGATTCTGCATTTGTGGATCGCTTTTGGGCTTTTCTCTCGATGACGTTATTTTGAGACATTCGTACCGCACACTGCCATCCACAAATGAATACCCCCAAATTCAAATGCGAATACACCCTCCTCTGAACAACCAGTAGATGGAAGTGTTGTGCAGTGACATCTGTCTGTACACTGGCTAAGTGGACTCATGTATACTGTCTAGTAGATAAAACAAAATGGCACTACAACCCACAAGAAACAGTTATCACTAGTTATTACTTACCCATCCAGTTAGTCCACTGTCCTAACCCTAACCCTTCCATGTTGTTGATCCTGCAGCAGTCATAGACGGTAAATTTGGATAAAAGTGTCTGCCAAATACCTAACCATAACCATAACCAGCGGTGGCTGCACAACATTGCCATCTACTGGTTGTTCAGGGGAGGGTGTATTAGTGTATTCGCATTCGAATTCAGGGGTATTTATTTGTGGATGGCAGTGTGCGGTAATAATGTCTCAAAATAACGTCATCGAGACAAAAGCCCAAAAGCGATCCACAAATACAGAATCCACACACAAAGTCAAGCATATTTATTTTCAAATCTCGAAAATATATTTACAAATAAACGTTTATTTATACAAATTAGTTAATTTATTTGTATGTTATGTTTTATATTTGTATATTTGTACTTGTATGCATATTTAAACATATCATTTCGATATGTACAAATCTTTTTGAGACAATTCTATCTCCATAAAGTACTGACACTTGAAAACTGATACCTGAAAACTTTGCTTTAGTAGCATAATAAAGTATTTGTTTGGATCTCTGCACGCATCTAGTTGTCCCACAATCATTTACCTAATGTCAGGAGTTAATAAGCTGGTGGAAAATTGTATGACCATTTCAATAAAGCACATTCTGATCAACACACAGACACACACACACACACACAGGCGGATGACCTACTGAGGAGTTTGAGCTGATGCTGAGGCCGGGGGCGGGGCAGGAGGAGGAGGACGAGAGAGGAAGAGGAGGAGGAGTAGGAGGGTGATGATGAAGGTTTACCTCGTCCGTCTCTGCAGTGCGCCGCGTCGACCACACAAATTCCATGATGGCCACAAAGACGGCGATGATGAGGCCGCAGATCAGCACCACGAAAATCCCACCGATGTTCTCCATACCGAGACCTGAAACACAAGAAAGACACACAAGAACGCAGAGAGGAGCTTTAATGAATCATATCTGTTAAACACATTTCTTTATATACACTGATTATAACAATGCTAACAAAAACTTTTCTTGATGCATAATCAAGCAACAAACTCTCCATGCCAAGACTGTGTGAAAAAAAGTGTCTCCAACAGTTAGTCAGTCACCATTGAGCCTCATGTCAAAATGTTGGACTTTACAGCAGAAATAAAGACGTTTACAGGCTGCTTCAAAAACACCGTTTGGTCTCTATAGCTCATTTCTTTATTGGTAAAAACTTAACAGGAGATCGGACTTTTTTTATAGTCGTGTATAATGACTTTAGGTCACAATTTCCCAGCATCAAAGACTTGACACCTGTGAATGTTTGTCTAACCAGAAGTAGCCCAGCAACAATACTATGATGCTATATATACTATGAGAGGGAGCTTTCTGATTGGTGGTCAGTGGACCAATCAGAGAGCCAATTAGGAGTTTGGTCGTGTTGACTGACAGATGGACGCATTGGGGCTTCTGTTAGGTTGATTGAAGTTCCAATAAGGCCACATCCATCGTTTGCCTTTATCAGTAACCAATGGACGACGTCACAGACACTATGTCCATGTTTTATACACTTTATGATTGGATATGAATGACGAGATCTGTCCCGGTGTGGATTCTTCCCATGTTTACTGTTACTTCAGAAAGTTATATAAACAAAACAACAAAATTCTGCCTAACATCCACTGGATGGTAATAACTGAGCTCCTAACAACAACACGAGTGAACCCCCTGCTCCCAAATTATAGAACTAGTTCAGTGAAAGGACGAAAACGCCTCCATTACAGCACTTTTCTTTCTCTGTGAGGACAGTTAGGCTTTAGAGGAACACACACACACACACACACACACACACACACACACACACACACACACACACACACACACACACACACACACACACACACACACACACACGCGCACACACAAACACTGACTAAACAAAAAAAGCCACTGAGTACACTGCACAATCAGCAACAAAGAGACACTTGATTAGCCTTAATGGGTCTTAACAGGATCTTAATGGCTTGATTTTCCCAGGCACTAATACTTAAGCACACACACACACACACACACACACACACACACACACACACACACACACACACACACACACACACACACACACACACACTGCTGTGTGACCTTGTTTCCCCCTCACTCTGGGAATGAGAAAAAGCTGTAGGAATGGATGACAGAGAGTAGCTGATCAATACTCAGACAGGACTCACATTCCCATAATGATCGTCTCCTTAAAAACATGATTGCAGCGAGACAGTCGATGAACAGAAACCGTCTCATCTCGTTACACACGGGAAGAAAAACGAACACGGGTCAATACTGGAAACACTGAAGGAAAAAGTCAGGGATGTGATCGATGAGGGGACACAAATGAGGCCCAGGCCGAGACGTTGGAACAGAATGTGTCGGAGGATGGCGAGGGCGGTTCTGTTGTCTGTGATTTTTACACCTCAAACATTAAAAGCTCAAGAATGACAGAATGAAAAATGATTCATTTGATTAGAACTGATTGATTATTATAGCTTTGTGTCATTGTTGCATCTGTTGGTGATTCATATTTGGGGTAAAATCTCTGGATCGTGGATCGCGTTTAAATTTAGCAGAAACATTTGACTTCTTCTGAAGCACTATCATCAGTTATGGGATGTTCCTAGAGACTAATTTCTCTGTTGATTAAACACAAATATTAAACGGATAGTTGTGTATTTGGGGTTGTATGAGGTACTTGTGGATAGTAGGTTTATTAGCTAGAGTCAGCTCGGCCACTTTCAGGAGAAACCAACCGGAGCTCCTGCACTGAACGAGACGGGGGGTGATTTACCACGAAATGTACCTAATGTTAAGAAAAACTGAGCAAAAATATCAATGTCGAGGTAAATGTTTCTTTTCCGCTACCAAGCCACTTCCCTTTAGCACTACTTTGGCACACCACATAATGTTCCTCCGCCTGTAAATTGAACACAATGTATTTAACACGGCTAAACACGGGACGGGATCACAGTGTGTGCTGGTGAACAATGTCAAACTGGTTTGCCATGGCTAACGTTAGCGGCGCTAACCCCACCAGCATTCAGTGCTTCTTGCAGGTTAAAGCAACAATATGGAACTTTCCCACCTTTTAACAGTAGTTTCAAATGTTGATAGTACAACAACCTCACTCCTGACAGATCCTCATGTGGCTGCACACCTAAAGGGAGCTGCAAGGCAGGGCAGGCGGGGCCATTAGTGCTGATGCTGGATTGTTTGTGGCGATGGCGCCAAGCGGGTCCTCAAGGAGCCTCTGTGGCCCCGGGCTCAAGTCAGAACCTCCTCCCAGCCCCTGTCAAATTTCCTGTAACATACTGCCAAACCGCTCTACACAGTTTGGGGTCAAGCGGCCTGTCCACTGTGCTAGTTTACATCCAGGAAGTGGAGCAGGAAGAGAAAGTGCATGAGTGCGAGCTTTTGCCCCATCTAGTGGCGGGAAGTTGCTTAGACAAAACATTTTAACCATAGTCGGTTTTGGACCCTTTTTAGGGCTCATCGATGATTTGTTTGTGCAAGTTTCGTGTGCATTTTGTCATTTCCACACTTCTCAAACTTCCTTCCCTGAGCGTGACTTCACTTGAAAATGGCGGCTGTGTGACTCTGGTCTATAATCTGGCGGGTGGGGCTCAGTGGTAGAGTCAGCCATCTCTTAACTGCTTCGATGGCGGCGTGCAAATGTGTATAGGTTGGTGTTAAAGTGCTTTGAGTAGTCAGAAGAAAAATAAATACAAACTCAAGTCCATTTACCATTCTCCAATCTGTGCCCTCATTATGAAGATCTGTAAACAGGGTCAGCTGTTTGTGTCACCCACCTTTGGCCCGGTGGTCCTCCTCTTTGGGACACTGTCCTCCCTCCCACCAGCGTCTCTTCAGGATCTCCAGCCTGTTGTTCTCCTGCAGCTGTAAGATCCCCAGAGTGATCTCGTCTCTGAACGGAGAGCCTGCAGAGACACCAGAAACGCAGAGTCATTCAGCGTCTCTCTGAAAAACAGACTGAGGCTCACATCTGACAAAACAAACATGAATCAAATACAACAACCCGTCTGGTTCCTTCTTGCTAGAGTAAAGTGAAGGTGCAAGAGGACAGAACCGTCCAATCGATGAGTTCCATGTCTCAAGAGATGGATCAAAACTTACACATAAATGGAGCCATATTTCTAAAGAGGTGCTTTTGAAGAAAAGCTTCAGCCAAGGTCAGAATGTTTGACTGCAGGAATAGTTAGAATTTTCTCTCTATTCATATTTTGTTAGAGCACCTTTCTGAAACATCTCTGCATGCCGCTCATTCAGCTCCTGTGTTCAGTGTCTTGCCTGTTTTTTAAACTCATTGTCCTGTGTCCAATTGTACTGTCTACCTCTTGCAAATGTTTTCCAATGTGGTTTTCATGCTACAAATGGCAATAAACTGAACTGAACTGAGCTGTGTTTCCATGGGAGAAAAAAGGCACCCGGAGCTCACCTGCTCACCTCAGCTTTTGTTCAACATGTTGGGCTTAAAATAACACACACAGCCTGTTCTCTGCAGCTCCGTGGGTTTTTATATCGACTTTTCCTTTCAGGGAGCAGATGTGCTGATAAACTGAGAAATACTGAGAGAGTCCAGAAAGAGACGACGCGGCAGGTGCTTCTTTCAGACAAATTATAGAAGCCTGCTGTTGTTTTGAATCTGCTTCACACCTGAGGTCTTTGTTCTGCTTTATTCCAAAATAAATACAGACTTCTGTGAATGGGCATGGGGAATTATAAAGTTTGACTCGTGTCTTTTCATGTTAACAACGTTGCTCATTTTCTGTAGGAAGAAGACATTACCTGGTGTAAATGTCAGACATCTACATTTCTTCAACCTCAGTAAATCCTATTTTCCTTTTCAGCTCACAACATACACTTGGCTCCTCTCCAGATATTGATCTGCTGCTATGAGGCGTCTAAAGACCCTGACACACCAAGGAGATCGTCCTAGTTGGACCGTCAAGTGAGTGGTCGTCGTCCAAGTTTTTGCATTGTGTCCGGCTCTGTCACAACCTGTCTGTCTTTTTTTGGCTGATTCGACATGTTAAATCGGTGTCGGTCAGCGCGGTTGGTGAGAGGGATCTCTCTGATTGGCTGTTGGGAGGTTTCATTTATCTTCACCTCTCGACACAGGTTCAGGAAAGCCCCTTGAGGAAGCCGCTGTAGTATCCATGCTTTCACCCATTAGTGCGGTTTCTCCTTATTTGTCGCCTCCGCCTTTTCTTTTTCCACGAGAAGACCAAGGGCTGACAACACCAGCACCATTTTTAAAACGTTTTATCAGACATTATTCTTCATTAGTAGGTTACCTATAATACGAGTGGTGACCGACAGCAGTGTGAAAATGGTCTTCTCGTATCATAACAACAGGCTATCGCCGCCCCATAAGATGGTTGATAGTTTTAAAATGATATATCCACAATGAGAAGTTGAATGAATTTATGAGATTCCTACCAACAGTGATGGAAAGAAGAACTTATAGGCGGAGAAACAGAGAAGAGGAATACATGAGAAACCTGGTTAACTGGGTAAAGGAAGCAGATCGAGAGGAATAATACAATGTAAATAAATTAATTCAAATGAAGACACTGAAGGACCCCCTCAGCTTTCTGTTTTTTCCTCCATCCTCCTCTGTCTTTACTGGACTTCCTTTAAGTCTGTATTCTTGTTTATTAAATAAAAAATGTGTAAATGTGTCAGGATGAGTGAAATAAAGATGAAACGTGAAAACATGAAATGTAACAACCTGATAAAATACAAAGAAAAAGGTAGGATGTTAATATAACATACACTGCTACCCTTTAAACTAACAGAGAGAGGATCGATCTCGAAGGTAATCTCTGAGTCGTCATTTATATTTCATTCATACCCGTCAGTCATTTTTTTGGTCGTCTGCAGCTGTAAATTATGAAGCTTTCACCCCGACTTCGTCCCCGTCCTCTTCTCCATTCATCTTCTTTCTTATTCCATTAAAAAGTGAGGATGACTTTCACAGGGTGACAGGACAGCAGCGAGATAAGCCCGTGACAAAGTGATGACACTTTTACTCGTTAGATCCTCCATATTTTACAGATACCAAATGATTCATCGTCACCTCCTGACTACCTTTTCTTTTTGCGCCGATATAAATTCATAAATGCACTTTCTCTTTGGAAGTCAAATACCTCATCTGGAAAGTTTCCAAGACAATGATTCACTTCAGATAAGATTTATTTACAGGTATGGGTCACATATCAGAGATCCTGTTCCCGCCAAGATCAGAAACAATTTGGCTTACATGCTGTTCTTTCCTATAAGTATGTGACAGTATTTACAGCATTTACATAATACAGAATGACACTATATCAGAGGGGGATTTGGGCCAGACATGAGAAATAAAAAGTGAGAGGAGGAAGATTTGTTTTTCATTATGCAGTTCAAGAAAAAAGTAGAATACTGGAGAGAGGTTAGAACGCAGAACGGTTTACAGACCGATGCAGAGCTGGCTAAACACTGAAGCTTCAGTGTCCACCACATGGCAACCTGTGTGAGCATCGACTCTAGAACAACACTCTCGACTTTATTCTTGACATTTTGACTTCTTTCCTTGAAGTGCATAATCCTCTAATCCTCTTCCGTACAATTAATCAGAAAGTGTTTTGTTTCTTTGTGTTGCATCGTTTTATGTAAAATGAACCACTCCAAACCTAACATCAAACTGACTTTAGAGCAGCTGTGGGTTCTCATATTCAGACTTTCTTGCTGATGCTAATCGCTCACTGTCAGTCAGCGCGGTTAACATGAGAGACGGCGTGGATCAGGGTGCACCTGAATGATTCTGCTGATTTTATTGTAATTACTTAACAGGCAGGTTGACTGACAGGCCGATTCCCCCCCAAAAAACTAATCTTATTTCTCCCTCTCCGTCCTCTTGCTGTTCTCTCTCCGCTCTCCACATCTGTTCCTCCCTTCCCCCCATTAACCATGCTAATCTATACGCTAACACTTATCACCAGAAACAAGTCTGAGGCGGACGGCGAGGCCAGGCCAGACACCGGCAAGAGCAGGCCGACGCCAAATTGGACTCAGGATGGATTTAATTTAGCAGGAGGAGCAGCTGCGCAGAGACTCTGACCCGGTTAACTGCTGAAACTGAACCGACACACGAGGAGCCGGGTGGACTGTAACACAGCCTCAATATATCGCGGACAATATGTGATGTGACAGCCGACTACACACAGAAACACTGTAAATAAACCAAGGAGAGAGGATACACAAAGTAGCAGAATAGTTCAGTTTATGCTCTTGATGAAAACCTGCCATCTGATTGGCCTTTACTAAATTGTGCCAAATTGTGAGACTCTTAATTGCTCTCACACACGTAGAAACAAAAGGTGATTGTGGTATCTTAAAAGGCTTTAATGCACATTCTGTATGTTCTGTTCACACAGACAGGACGACACTTCCTTCGGCTTCTTTTATGTTTCACTCAGAGGCTCCCCACACCCCTCAGTGGGTGCTGGATTTCGAAAAAGTAGAAACCCAAGGAAAGATTTTCTTAGGCCTGTAAAGAGAAACAGGCTTTGTAACAAGAAAAAAGGAAAACAAAACAATCTAATCAACCTGAAACCGATGTCCTATCAACACATGTCGGCCTCTCTCCGTCTCACAGACACACGCTGGTGAAACAGGGAACACGGGGCGGGGCAAGTGTGGAGGGGAGCTGAGGGATGAAGGAGGCGTGTCTGAAGAGAAAGTTTGCGTTTCTGCTCTGAAAGTCACATATAGTCTTCCTATAAAGCTGGGACCTATTTCTCTATACTTCAGCCACTAAATGAATAACAGGTCTTGGAGTTGTTCCAGCAGATTCTCTTTGTTTTTGCCATTGACGGAGTTATAGTTTTACTCTTAGTGTGTGACAACATTAAAGATCCTGAGATTGAAATACTTCTCTGGCTGCAGATTTTTTTAACCTTTGCGGTCATCTTATCAGAATATACGTTTTAGAAAATAGCCTAACTCACCCAGAGGCATGCCGATGCCGTATCCTTTGGTGTCAAGCAGCCCTCCGATCTGCGTCAGGTTGCAGTTCAGGCTGCGGTAGTACTCGTTCATGGTGCTCTCCATCAGGAAGGCGTACTTGGAGTTGAGGACGCGGGCGATGCCCTCCTCGGTACTCTTCACGAACACGCTGGGCTGCTTGGAGTACATGTAGTTCCACATCCGCTGGTACGTCTGGTACCGCGAGTTCTGGAAGTGGAGGAGAGGAAAGGGGTGGAGGAGAGTGAAAGAGAAAAGGTTAGGCTTTTCATAACCACTGACACCAGAGACACGTTAAAAGATAGTTTACTTAAATTGTATATAGGTTTTTACAGCTCAATGGTTTCCAGCACAAAGTTTGTTTAGCGATTATTATTATCTTATTCTACTGTGAAATCACATTTTTTAGAGGGCTTGTGGTGCGTTCCCCTGAAGTCGAAAAACTCCGACCCTGCAACTCTGGCTCAAAATCCATGATGGCTGCTCGGTGATTCAACAGTAAAGTATAAGCTGTACATTAAAGTGTTTATTAGCAACTTAGACTTTCGTGTAATTAAATCAATCACAATGATAGTATTGTGCAAGCTTCTGCACACAGACTATCGCAAAGGTGTGTTGCTATCGCTAGGTATTAGCTAAAAATAAAAACTTTGTTACCAACTTTTAACTGGAATGCGGTGAACTCAGGGGTCATTCCCGGCTCCTACATCTGACTTCTGAGGTAAATAGAACGCTCCATCCTTGGAAAATCACAACATTTACACCTTGCTAGACATGATAAGATGCAGGATGGGATTGGAGTAAAGTCTTATTAATGTTTTTGATGGAATCATTGCTGTCATCTTTAAGGAGATTTAGATTTGTATGATTTTTGAGTTTCTGAGATGCTCTTTATTTCAGGGACACAACTAGACAGCGATACTGTGTTTGGTATTTCTGCTTCAAGTACTTTGCTGTCATTCTATTTACCACTGAGACCTTCTGGGGACACAGGCAAAAAAAAAAAGGTTTCCCATGCTGACGAGAATATTTTCTTGTGCAGCAGAAAGTTTCATACGATCACTAGAAAATATGTAATGTGCACCTGACAGTTTCTGCCGTTCTGTCTCATAAGATGAGCTAAATGGTCTTTGGCCATCTCTGTAGGCGGAGAGATCTCAAAGAGCTTCACATGCACACACTGGTACATACGTTAAACTTCCTCACAAGCTCTTAAAATGTTCTTGTGAACACACAAAACTTCATGTGAGCCCATGTTTCCGGTGCAAAACATAAATGGATTATATTAATGTTTTCAGTCCATGTCTCTTTAAGGGCTCCATGAAAAACTGCATTTGTTACGAGTCTCACCATGAAGAAGGTCATGGTGGACCCTCCGTGGATCGTCCCGTACTGGATGTTAGTCTGGTCAGCCAGGTCGTCCGGAGACTCGATAGGGGCCTCCATCCTCTGGACGGTGAGGAAGGCCGCCAGGTTGGCCGTGTAGGATGAGATGATGATGAGGGTGAAGGCCCACCTGAGAGGAGAGAACAGCTTTAACCTTTATTTACCCTGAGAAACTTTCAAAGCTCACTCCCTCCATGAGGAGCTGTGAGCAGGAGGCAGGAGGCAGACAGATGGAGCGCTCTGCAGGAAACGTCAGGATTTTTAGGTAAAAATCATCAACCTAAACATGAACTCTGTCGGCAGCAGAGAGAGCGGGACTCCTCCGCCGCAGGGGAAATGAGACAGAAGTGATGAGCAAGGGAATTATGAGGAGAGGGAGGCAAACAGAGAGGGAAATGGAGGAGAAGAAAAGAGAGAGAGAAATTAAACTCAAAATAAATAGAGTTAGGGCTCCTGTCATTTTCCTGATTATTCTTTGTAAAGTCCTGGTTGTGATTTGATGGAACATTAATATCAGACTAAAATAAACGTAACACTACAAAACACACACCTGACTCCAATTACCTGGAGCCTTGGCTTTATGCACTGCTCTACCCAGGGTTCAGTGTATATAATATAAAGCCCGTTTTGGCTCCTACTAAAGGCCTGTTGAAGCTTTGGGTTTGGCATTACGGCCACCGCCATCCAAGGTTTTTAGTGCCATGAATGACCATATATGGACAGAGGGTGGAGCTTATCAAGGTCATACAGTCTGTGGATAGCTCATTAGCTTGCTCAGGAGCTAGTTGACCATCATGTTTCCAACTAAATTAGATTGTAGCTCAATCAACCAATCCTTGTTTGTATAGCGCCAATCCATAACAGATTTTTGTCTCAAGACACCTGCGATCAGAAAATGAGCAGGTGTAGAGCGTACTCTTTCAATTCGAGGCTCGTCGCACCCGATTATTTGTCCAAATAATTCTGAAGTGTTTGGTGTCAATCGGGCTGCCTCCAACAGAATACCCACAATAGCCAATGAGAGCGAGCAGACTAGGAAGCGTCACAGACTGGAGGCGGCATACTTCTACAGCTCACGCTGCGAAGTGCGCCGCACCTAAACGTCTTCTGAGCCCACAGGAGTCCACCCACGCTGAAAACATGCTGCACTGCATTGGTTGTTTTTGTAAAGATAAAAGGTGCCGCCAGCTCAAACAATGAAAAGAGTAGACAAAGGCCCTAAAAAAGGCAAGGGGCTCCTTTGTTTGCTCACGTCTAAGGCAAGAGCAAAAGCCGCAGGTAAATATACAAATCAGATTATTACTGTTACTCAAAGCCATCACGTCCCTAACTTTAAGTCTGAATATCATCTAACAGGTGAGTTACTTATACGGACTGTGATCCCACTGTGACACCAACAGGTAGAGACACACTCTCTTACATCACGCCCCAGATATCCGGCTGTGAGAGAAGAATAATGAATAAATAAATGAGCTATCGAGATACAAGGCTATAAACATGTTCATGCCTTCTGTACGGTTGGACATTATTACATGGGGCTCTGTGGGGATTGACTCACTTTTGGAGCCAACCTCAAGTGGCCACTCGAGGAACTGCAGTTTTAGGCAGTGTCTTCGTGTCTCCTCAGAGTTTCCTGCTTGGATAAAACCAGCCCGTCTGTGTAGATGCCTTATTGGCCTCATTATTGAAGAAAATGTATATTGTTATTTTCCATAAAATGCTCAACACACTTGTCTCAAATTAAAGTGTTATTGGAGTTTGTCTGAGAACTAAAGCCCGGCCGGCTCGCCCGCCAACAAGCCACTCAGGAAACAGTGTGTGCAGTTTGAGCGGCAGCCATCATGAGTTTTTATCAGCCTGGCGAGGCTGTCAGAGAAAAGATGCTGATGAACCCTCCAGTCCCTCCAGTCCCCCTCCACCATCTGTCTGACAGCAGCTACTGGGAACGAGGGAGGGAAGGAAAAGAGGAGAGCGAGAGAGCAGAGGAGGAAAGAGGAGGACCAGAGGAGGCAGAGGAGCGGAAGAAAACGAGAAATGAAACTGACATCAACAGTTTCACCTGAGAGCCAGTTCACCATCTGTTCATGTTCACCTAATGTTTCCGATGAGGGAGGGATGGACAGAGAGCAGCACTGAGCAGAGAGGAGGAGATACACCGTCACATTTTTTAGTTTATGGTGACAATGAAATGTCTCCCCTGACAGCTTAAGGACTATACGAGGATAAAAAACAAAATTCTGATAAAAACTGGGTGAAAGAGAAACATCTGAGAATCACAACTTCATGTTTTGTGACGGCCTGTGTTGATTTTTAGTTAATAGTACTGAACTCCTATCCACTAGATGGCAGTGTACATATCTTTCTTCAGCTTTTAGACTGTATTGCTGCATCTCAATTCGGAGATAGCCTCCTTTCAAGGACGCAGCCTAAGGAGCCCGCCTTCATAACCTGTGTAGACCACTCAGGCCGAACTGAAATCAGATGGTCTGGTCCACACCGCCCCTGTCGACTAGCAACCTCAACAACTGCAGCTTAACTAACTGATATAAAATACCCTGATTATTACCCCCAAACACTTGATTGAAGAGCAAACCACTGTTCTTTATCTTTATTAATGAGTGAACATTGTAGAGAGCTGTCTCAAGCCACCCCCTCCTCTCTAAGAGTCCATGCTCACGCAGGTTGCCATGTGGTGGACACTGAAGCATCTCCAATATTGATCCTAGCACTGAGGCATACATACATGCAGGTGGAGGGACCAAAACAGAAACTTAGAGGACACTTTTGTTCAGAGTCTTAAACACAAGCTGACTGTGTCGGTGTAAAAACCTACCAGACTCCGCTGACGCAGCGTGTTGACAGAGCGCGGGGCATGATCTCTGATCCCTGCTGCATGAAGCCGCCCACTGGGAACCACAGACTGTTCCCCAACGTGTACTGATTCTCCAGGACATCCCGCCGCTCCCGCAGGCACGGGTGAGGATTGTACCACTCGTAGGGGCTGAGTCTGAGGGCGCAGAGATACACACTTATTTAGACCAACTCTACATTGACACTTGAACCTTTTTATAACTTTTAAATGACATCAAAAAACTAAAAAAATCGACAAGGTTAGCTTCACACTGTATTTAAGATGGACGACATGACAGCTTGCTAAAAGTGAAGTCAAAACATTTAGAGCTCCCCCTACTGACTGGCTGCACACACACACACACACTCACTCTCTCTCTCTCTCTTTATTTCTTCAAACACACACACACACACACACACACACACACACACACACACACACACACACACATGGAGGCAGGTGTGTTACCTGGCGGCAAGGAAGAGGACGCAGCTGACGGCGAGGTATGCCAGCAGCATGAACAGCCAGACAGCCGGAGAGAAGGGATCCAGGAAGGAGAAGTAACCCGGTTTACGGCCCTGAAACACACACAATACCGACAAAACACACACTTGGTCAAATTCAAAATACTCAATCTATCAGCACATCAGGCCGTCTGAAGTAGATTGCAGTTTGATCCAGCAGAGGGCGCTCTCAGCGTGACTTGACCATCATGCCCTCGTGATCTCAATAAACGAAGACAGGAGTTGAGGCAAAAGGAGCCGGGCGCAATCAAGTAAAGAGACTTTTGTTTTTGTCCTTTCAGATTGTCAACAGGCTGTTGGCTTTAAGCTCATAAGTGATGCGGTGATATGAAGTAATGGAAATATTTTGTGTCTGTGGCCGGCGCTCGTAGGCGGTGGGGGTTAAAAAATTGACAGCCCCAGCAAAAAAACAGAAACTGTTTTCCCAGTTTGTTGTGGAAGGACTCGACTGGCTTCACTGATCTCTGAACATCAGCAGCCTGCAGCATTTTAATGATGAACAAGACCGCTGATTGTGAAGAGGCAAAGAGTGCTCAACATCTGACGACCACCATCATCAAAACTGACCTCAGCAGTCAGTTATTCTATCTTGACGCTGAAGGGGATACAATCTCTGCAAAAAGATCCACGGCCATGAAGGACTAACTCTTTAAAATCAGCAGCAACTAAAACTTGACTTTCTCTGATTATGTTTAAAATCTGATGACAAAGAAAGGCAGTAAAAAGTGAAATCAGACTCCTATGAAGACAATCAGACTCAGGTTCAGACCTGCTGGACACTTATAGGACTTCATCAGATTTGGATGTTAAGGTCAGGTTGACCCTCGTACCTTTTGGGAGGTAGTAGTGTTGTAGTACTCCAAATCGGTCTCCAGACCATTTTTTGAAAGTTTCACAAATTGAAAGCATTTTTACTCTGGCTTGTCTCGGTCTCAGACTGGGCAGACTCCTTCTCCATGTCATTACTGTGACTAGAAAGAAAACGCCTCTTTTCGAAAGAACGAATAACTTCGATTAATTCATTATTTGATTTGTATCCCCTGGTTACGTACGCAACCTTCCTGGTGTTCTGGTCTAAGTGAGTGACACGCCCATGCACACCAGATGATGATTTTTCAGTGATATTTATGGTCTTGGTCTTGTCTCTGCCTTTGTCTATCTGTGTCTTGGCCTTGACTCGGTCTCGATCCCTAAATGTCTCAGTCTTGTCTCGGTCTCGGAGCGCTCTGATCTCAGGTATGTCTTGGTCTCAGCTGGTGTGGTCTTGACTACAACACTAGGAAGTATAGCGTACTCTAGCAAAGGCAAATAAAAGAGCCAACATGTTTAGCTGTATGGTGGTGCAGCACTGGTGACTATGGGAGAACTCCCATGATTCCCCATCAGCCTCGACATCGTCTTTTGTTATTGTTCGATTGCTAAAGCCCCCTGGTGGCGTTATCTATATACTGCACCTTTAAGGTGTTCAATTTCATTCATATATCAAATATGAATCTATAAAAGTATAAGTAAGGAAATGTATCTTCTGCAAGTCATGAGGGGAGGGCACAAAATAAACTAAACTAGTTTAACAAACATTTTTATGACCTTAGAAGAAGCATATGTAACTCATGTTATGAGCAGTGCTGTGATATGAATCTGTAGATGAAGACCCTGCCCTCTGCTTGTGATCACTTTAAACATCATCACTCACATCAAAGCTCAGTCGACTAAATTACCACCTGTCAGTCACAGCTGTCAGCGTCTCCGGCTGTAAAAACTCAACCTACACTTTGAGACTGACAGACGAGCAAACTCTGGATTTGTGTAGTTTCCCTCTTTCATCCTCTCCAGCTCGCCTCGTTTTCTCAGCATGTAGACCTGTGATTCAAATAAAACTACACAAACTAGATAAATGGATTGAAAAACTCCCAGATTGGACGTTATCACAGCAGATGACTGAAGCCGTTAAAGAGACATTTAACTCTGTTTCTTTTTTTTTCATTCATGCCGGTTTTAAACCACTGAATAAAACCTGATCTCTCCGTCTTCTACCAAAAGTTCAGAATGAACACCTCGTAAAACAGACTGAAGGAGAAGTCAGCAGATAAGAACGGGGACGTACAATGAATCCTCATCTCTCTCATGTTTGTGATATTCTCTGTGTTACCTTACCAGCAGGTATCCTCTGTGGGATTAAAACTACTTTAACATTTTTTTAAACTCAAATTGAAGAGTAAAATGACTTTGCACATTTATTAAGACATGTAGATAGGAGAGTTATGTGTTTATTAAAACAGCAAGCAAACTCCGGGATTCTGTCTCATATTTATTGGTAGCAATGTTTGGGTGTTAGACCTTCATCGTTTAAAGAAGAACAGCCATCTTTTTTTCTTTTTTTTTAAAGATGTATTTTTGGGCTTTTTGGGCCTTTACTGTAGAGATAGGACAGTGGATAGAGTTGGAAATTAGGGAGAGAGAGAGAGAGAGGGGGGGATGACATGCAGGAAAGGAGGCACAAGTTGGACATGAACCCAGGTCGCCTGCTTGGAGCACCACAGCCTCTGTAAATGAGGTGTGTGTGTGCCCCAGAATGGTCATCTTTTTTTTAATGATTTTTTTTGGCTATTTGTGCCTTTATTTGAGAGATAGGACAGTGGATAGAGTTGGAAATCAGGGAGAGAGAGAGAGAGAGAGAGAGAGAGAGAGAGAGAGAGTAGGGAATGACACGCAGGAAAGGAGCCACAGGTTGGATTTGAACCTGGGCCGCCCGCTTGGAAGACTACAGCTTCCATACATGGGGCGTGCGCACTAACCACTGCGCCACCAGCGCCCCTATAGAATACCATCACTTCTATCTGAACCAGTTCTCTTGCCCGCTTCAATCACTCCAACACCTGTTGTTCTGATGTTTGTTAATCCTTTATGTCTGCTGTTCAATCATCTACCACATCGGTTTAGTTCATGTAGACCCTGAATCATTCTGTGCAGAGCGTCACATGTTTTCTTAATAATACTGATGTCACTTCCTGTCCCTGCTGCTGATGATGTCAGAGGTCCTTGTACGTGCTGTGATAGCTCCCTGTGCCTGTGACGGAGGGAACAGCGGAGTGATAATATATCGAGCACTAATGAATTGGGAGCGGCAGCAGCAGCAGACATAAATTCACCGAGCTGATCACCAGAGGGCAGAGCTGCTGATAAACACAACGCCGCCTCACTAATGTGTGCGCACGAGTCAACAGCCCGAGCAATTAAACAGATTAGCATCTTTAAGTGTGCTCGCCAGCTATTTAGATCCAAGTTGAGTGTGTGTGTGTGTGTTTAACAATGTGCATAAAGCGCTTTATACCTCCAGACATGATTGTATCTTTTATTTAGGTACTTTGAGAGTCACAAAAAGAAACATGTTGTTTGTTTGTGTGACGTTCAACAGCTTGCACAAAATCAAACGAGCGCATGTGTGTGTGTGTGTGTGTGTGGTGTATTCAGAGTGTTAATTAGATTAGATTACATTCAAACTAATAAAAAGCTGAATTAACTGTCTCAGCAATATGGGTTGCTTCCATAAATAAAGAAGAAAGTGCGTGGCTTGTTCGTGGATTGACAGCTGCATCGTCCTGAGGAAAAACAACATCAAACCTGTCGTGGACGCCGTCAGATTAAACCATTTCCCACACCGGATCGGAGCAGAAATGTGCGACATCATTTTTGAGGTGTAAACTTCTAAACAATGAGTGAAGTAACGACACACGCGTTAAACCAAAACTCTTGATTTTCAAAAGTGAAACCAATTCTGAAGTGTCTTCAACCTGCAGTCTCTCTAATGGCCAGCAGGGGGCCGTGAGTTTTTTTTTCATTCCCTCAGTAAACATTGTCCTAATGACTTTATGGTCTTGAGCTCTAGTGTTAAAGGTAAAATATGTAGAATTTTATGACAATGTATACATAAAAAATGTAAACGAATTAAAAATGGACTAAGCCCATGTTATATATAATTTTTTGTTGAGTACTTACATTACCTCAAATATTTCAAACAGTTATCAAAGACAGAGAAATCCGTAATTTTATAGTTGTAGCATGTCTTGTCTGCCATGACAGACCAAACATGTTTATCGTTGCTGTATAGAAACACCAGAAGTTACATCAAAGACAGCTGCATAAGAAAGTGTGGGCTGCTACTGAAAGCTGCCGTACTGTTGTATGTGTGATAAAAACTTCATGTAAATTATACTCATTACACATACATTAGCTCGTCTGTAAACATATTCTCTTCCTCAGGTTGGTTTCACCCGGTCGTCATGACTACTGTCAACCCGGAGCAAATTTTCACCGGCGGGGGTCGAGGGTGGAGTGGCAGAGAGAATCACTCCCATGATTCCCCTTTAGCCTCGGCGTCATCTTTTGTTATTGTTTTTGTTATTCTTTTGTTCCCCCTGGTGGTGGATTTTACATACTGTGCCTTTAAGTCTTCTTTAATACAGCACGATGCTCACTTAGTAAATAACGGTCTCATTAAGAGTCAAACAGACTTTATCTACGATCATCTGACACTACTTTATATTTCTATTCCATTTTATGAAGCACACTGAGTTTATGTTTGATGAGAATCTGCTACAGGAATAAAAAGGCTCCGACTTTAAATCCAATATGTTAATCAATAAATAAACACTAATGTGTTGTTATGAACTAAAGTTCTTAGCGCTTTATAATCAGTTTAAATGAGCTCCAGCCTTCCCAGCTGCAACAATAAAGGGATTTTATGTTATAGAACAAATATGAATCTGAAATGGACTGTTGTGCTTAATGAGTGCATGATGTTTATTTTGGCTTAAATGTTTGTTCATTAGCTTCAGAAACATTTTGAATACAGGACTTTAGCTTGTGAGTGTGTGTGGGAGTGTGTGTGTGTGTGTGTGTGTGTGTGTGTGTAACTCTCCTCTGCATGCTCAGTTAGTCGGTCTGCGTAATTCTGTGTATAATGTTCACCAGTACTGCTCTCGATCAGAGCAGTTTAGAGTTTTGAGTTAACGACATACTGGCTACAATACTGGACCTGGATGTTCTGTTTTTCT